AAAGATCACAAAGCGTAACTAGTCGAAGACATTATCCTCAAAAATTGAAAACATTTCCCTTGTTCCCCGTTAATGAGGGAAACCTCCAAAAAAATTACAAATTTAAAAATCGCTAATTATCGAAATTTCACATACATTTTTTTTTTTTTTTTAATGTTAACTTTAAGTTATATCCTAAAATCCTAAATCCTAAAATTTGAAGTCCATTGAGTTAATATTGAATAATCTGTGTGTTTTTTAACGTTCTGACTATTTTTAACATTTTTTACATTAAAATAGCCATAAAAATCGGAAGGTCATAAAAAAAAAAAAAATTGTTTTAANCATAAAAATTGGAAGGTCATAAAAAAAAAAAAAATTGTTTTAATCTAATTATAGCATAAATAATAAACCCTGAAAATTTAAGAAAAATATGAGGTGGTCTTGCAACCATTTCTGGATGATTTGGCATGGATTGACCCAGTAGCTTGCTGTACTACATAGAATAAAATTCGACTCGAATGATGAAAATTTTAAAATATTACATTTAACATATCAATGTTATAGGTAAACCTCTAAAATTATTTAAATAATTGAAAAATATGAAAAATAAGGACCCACTAGTGGGACACCCATTTACTGTACAATCACATATCATGATCACTAGTACTCCTGGAAAACTGACAGTAGAGCAAGTCATACCAAATGTAGCTGTTATCACAAACAACAAAGTACGACTATGAGCGACTACGGCCGTCGTAATACCAAAAAATCTTGTTGGACATACATCGGTTAGTACAAGTTTACCGAAAACTGAATTATATATAGAAGGAGAACTACGTACTTCAAAGCAATTGGTCCCTCGATGTTTAGTCTCGACTGACGATCAAGGGCTAACACAAGTGCCTGTTTTGAACTTGTCAAATGAACAATTCGTTGTCAAAAAAGGTGACAAAACCTTCACTGAGTTGTGTAACAACAATGAAATGTGTATTCGTGAAGTAAATAATGAATTAATTACTACAGACGAAGTTATCACAGACTTAGACACTGATCAATTACAAGACGTACTGGCAATGATACACGAATATGGTGATCTCGTGGCGAAAAATATATGACAAGTTGGGTGTACACATTTAGCGGAAATGAAACTTAATATGAATGACGATCAGCCAGTGGTATATCGACTATCTTTTCACGAACGAATACAAGTACGTAATTTAGTCAATGAACTCAAGGATGCGGATATTGTGAAATACAGTAATTCACCATACTCCAGTCCAGTATTGTTGGTCAAGAAGAAAACGGGAGAAAACCAGAGGCGAACGGTACGGATATCCTAGTTTTCCGGTGCTGGTGTTCCGTTCAAAGACACGGTGATCGTGGACCGACTTGTCGCTCCTCGCTCACTGATCCTCCGAGCCCGTCAAATAGCACCCAGTGCTATCGCTGATAACAGTTGTAGGTGAATTCTTCGGAAAGAAACCCACATAAACGATACTTGCCTAGCTTAATTAAATTAGATTAATTAAAATTAATACTAATTAGAGAAAACGGTGTTTAAGTAATATGTAATACATATGCATTATATAACTAGATACCAATAACACTCAAGAGTGTAACTAAAGGATGGCTTGTCTTTGATGTGTTTTCTCAGTTGATTAACAAAATATATATTTATAATATTTTAAAAGATATTTTTAATGCACATTGTAGAACAATTTTTACTGTAATATTCTGCATTTATTATCTTTAATATATTCTCAAAATATGCATAAACAAATATTTAAAAAATTATTTTGTGAGCATATTATAGAAATATTTCAAATAGAATAATGTTCTATCATATTATATTAAAATATATTATATTTTTTATCATATTTATGAGATATTATCACAATATTTGCTTCAAATTATTTTAAAATGTATTTTTTTTAAGAATATTTTGACAATATTAATATATCGAAATTGCTATATATGTTATTTCGACCTCCCACATCAGCCATCCTCATATCGTATTCAATAACATCCCTCCATCTCTTTTTTGGTCTTTCTCTACCTCTTCTACTTTCAACATTCATTTCCATTCCTGTATTTATAGCTTCCGATTCCTATCTCTGATTTCAAACCATCTAAGTCTATTTTCTGTCATCTTATCCATAATTGACGTTACACCTATACCACCTCTTATATGTTCATTTTTTACCCTATCTTCTCTAGTTACTCCATTCATTCATCTAAGAATTCTCATCTCTGCTGCACTCACTCTCTACATTCTCTGTCAACTCCCCAACATTCATTATAGCCGGTTTTACTACAATCTTATAGAACTTACCTTTCAGCCTCTTTTATCGCTTAACACATCAGATGATTCTCTCTACTTCACCTACCTGGACTTAATCATGTGTCTTACTTACATCCTCGTCAATACTATCATTCTTTGCGCAATTGATCTTAAATACTTAAAACTTTCTCTATACTTTTCTATAACTTGTCTCACGAAAAAATTTGACTCCGTCTTTGACTTTTTAGGCAAAGTGGTTCTCTCTCTATGGTTTCAATCCGTAGATTGGTTTGCAGCCATCTTCCAGTCTTCCCTCTTATCCGCCTTCCTTTTCATTTCCACATATGAGTCACATCCTCGATCCTTTATTATCTGTTGAATGAATTCCAATCTTGGTCTACCCCTACGGTTCCTTCCTATTACTGTTCCTTCTATTATCAATTTCAACAATCCTTCGTGTCTCATTATATGACCTATCCAATCGTTGTGTCTTCTGACTATGTTATTCCATAGTAACTTTCCATCTGATATTCTTTCCAGTACTTCCACGTTGGTTACTCTGTCCATCCAACTTATCCTTAGCATCCTTCTATAGCACCACATTTCAAACGCCTCAAGCCTTCTTTTTTCTTCCATTGTTATTGTCCAGGTTTCACACCCGTACATGCATGCATCTTTAATAGGTTTTTTTTTATTTTTAGACTCATGCTTCTTGATGTAAATATAGTTTTCTTTTTGTTAAAGGCTATTTTAGCTTGACAGATACGTTTTATAATTTCACTTCTGTTTCTTCCATCCTTGCTAATTGTGCTTCCCAGGTATGTAAATTCATCTACTTGTTCTATTGTTTGGTTTCGTATATTTATCTGTATTGTATTATTTTCCCTTTCACATACCATTACTTTTGTTTTCTTCACATTTATTTTCATTTCCAACTCTTTTTCGAATGTTTTATCCAAAGCTTTAATTAGTTGAACCAGATTTTTCTCGCATTCAGCAATTAAAGCTATGTCATCGGCAAAACGTAACATACTTATTTTTTGTCCATTAATCTTTATCCCTAGATTGGCATTTTCCTTTATCATATCTATTGCTTCTTGAATATATATATTGAATATATGCGTTGAATATAATTGGGGATAATGTACAACCTTGTCTAACTCCTCTGTTTATTTTTACTTCTTCTTCCTCATCTTGGATCCTTATAACTGCGAATTCATTCTTGTATAGGTTATATAGAAGTTTCCTATCTGTTTATTTTAACCCCAATCTTTTCATCATGTTAAACATTACCTTCCAATTTACATTATCAAATGCAAAGTGGTTATAATACTTTAAAATATTATAATACTATTACTAATATTATTTTATGGTGTCATTGTAAAAATTACAAATTACATCACTACAATCTTTTAGCACGTATCTTACAATACTATTTATATAAAAAGGACATCATAAAAATTCAATGGATAGGTCTAGTGAAAGTTTTAGATCTTAAGTCATAAAATGCAACCGGCATCACCGAGCGTTTTTCTTGAAAGCAGTAGAAAATTTAAAACCTTAGCAGGTGAGTGGCATACATTTTCTGACCTCGGGAACAATTTTCCTAAAGTCACGTGACTTAATTCTTTCGTTAAATTTTGATTTGAATGAGCACGCTAATTAATTTCCCAGCAAAACGTTTATTCCTTGTTTTATTATATATTACTATAATTTAAAACATTCCATTCTCTACCTTATAAAAGAGTTACTCCTTGCCATCCGGTGGGCTAATCCGTCCGTAACAGGTGACGCCGCAGTTCTTCCTCACCTAGTTTAGCAGATACCTTTCCTAGAGTGGGTTTGCAGATATTCACCACCTTAACTGCTGTATAGTCGTAATTTAAGGTGCATGGCATAACACCGCCGCAAATTCTATTTCACCAATAAGGATCATGCGCGCATGTCGGAAAACGCAACCCCACGTGTCCCTCAAGCTACGTAACCAAGACCAATCGAGTCTGATACCACGAATCTGGCATGCTGAACCGACAGCATGGACTTCTAAATTCCCCTGTTTACCAATTGTAGCGAAGCAGCCTTGGACTGGTCACGGCCGACGCGAACATCTCTCTGTTTTGCCTGCCACATAAAAAACCCTACAGATTCCTAAATATGCCAGGACTGCTAAAATCCCCAACTGTTCGACCAGAATTCTAGAATAATGATATGGAGACCCAGCTTTAGGGGCAAACTCCAACAGATCATAAGTTTACCCGCATTTTCTACATAAAACTTATTTTTTACTGAAGTAGTTTACTTTTTTTAACGTTAAAAAATTAAGGGAATCGATGAAGTTTCATTAGCACTACAAATATAGACAATAAACTAGATTACTAACTGCCTATACATTCAATAATAGAGTAAAATAATATTTTTTTATGCCAAACATTGGCAGTCTCTATACTTCGTATACAGACTGCCGCAGTATTTATTAGACTTCGTATTTATACTTCGTGAACAAATTTGTTATCAATAAAAAAATGTATAGGGACTGATTATATTTGGCCTAAAAGAAAATGGATTCAACTTTTATCACGAGTTAGCTATCTAGTTTATCATCTATATTTGTGATTAGTACAGAAATAAGTTTTTTGTAAAATTGATAAAATTGTAATATGTTTATTTTTCCATGATAATGTAATCTACGCCGCAAGGTGGATTTATCTTGCTACGCCGCCAAAATTATGTTTTCTTACAAACGTTATCAATCAAATGTTTTATAATACTTAAAAACTGCTAAATTTTCATACGATTGTTAGCAGTTTTACACTATTGCACGTCGTTTTTTTTCTGTGATGTTTTACTCATTTCTGTGACAATTATGAAGTAATCCAAATGATTTTACAGTATAACTTATGGATATTTCTAACAATGTTTTATGATATACTTAGCGTTTTAACACAATATGATCAATATATATATATTTCAAATATTTTACATGATATTCATTTATATTAAAATACTAACTTTTAAAATTGAATATTATAAATTGAATTGAAGTATTTAGTTTTATTATGGCAACTTAAAAAGTATAAGTTTAGGTAAGTAATATGTTAATATAGTATCATTACTTTTGCAAAATTCTTTAAAACGTTTTTTTACATTTTCTAGTGATTAGTTATTTTATATTTCTTAAAAGCATGAACTTTTATAGCATTATCAGATTAAATGTATTTCTTGTTATTAAGCGACTTTTAGAAGTGGACAGTTTTATAAAATATTGTGCAGGACAAATAATATCTTTTTTTTAATTATTAATACCTTTTATGTAGTAAAAAATTCTCAATTTATAGATTCTTTTTATTGTTTTAAAATAATATTTTCTATCCATTATTTCTATCATTTGATAATTTTACTGAATAATGGAAATCAGTGATGTAACTTATACTAAATTTTTGTATCACAAAAATGTTGATTGTGTATGAAACAATGTCATCATTTTTGACCTACATTTGTTCATATTAAATTTCTTTATACATTATATGATGCCAGTTTGCAAAACAAATGATGTCTTAAAAAGTTTAACTCGCTCTGTTGAGATGAACTCCTTCTAGCTAAACAGAGCTGTTCTTAAGATTTATATGGCATAGAACCTGTTAATTAATGTTGTTGATAACATTAATTGATTAGACATTTTCTTATCTGTTTGGAGATTATTTCTATTTCAATAATTGACTTAATGATATGATTAATCCTTAACTTTATGTAGAAATTTGTTATGTAATAAAATATTACAAAAATACAATTGAAAAACTTTAATTATTTAGAATATAAATCATTAATCTAAAGTTTTAATTTTTAAATTAAATAGTTTACACAAAATTGGCTACATTAGTTCTCAATTTCTATAATACTCAGATTCCTTTTTTCCACGTAATGTTTTTAGTTATTTCACTATGTCTACTCATATTTTTCTTTAAATAACCACCTCAATAATTCTTTCTTGCTTTGTATATTATTGATTTCATTCCTACACTTCCATATAAAATCATTCTCATTTTTTTTTTTTACAAAAATATATTTTCAGTGTATATGATGTTCTGGACTTTATAACTTTATAACTGGCATTTATAACTTTGATAGAATTATCATTTTGTTGAAATTTTTTAAAAATAATTATTGGTTTCTTAGACTACAATTAAAGCATATTTTGTAGTATTTATCACTAATATAAAAATACAAATTTTAATTTAGAAAAAACTATTTGTAACCCTTTTCTTATAAAAAATATTGAAGGATCACTAAAAATCTTATTCATTGAGTTAATTAATTGTCTTTTAATATAGGGTAGGTATGGAACACAGATAGAGTATACATACACTAGTATGTATACTCTATATATTATGTATATATATATATATAGTATGTATACTCAATATACCCACCCTCACTATATATTAAAATACCTGTAACACAATGAGTATATGTTATAAAATTGTTATTAACTCATCAAAATTGTTTTTAAGAAAAAGGCATATATGGCTATTTCAAAATGTTGTGTTTTTTTTTACTTATTAATGATTAATAATAACGGGCTTTAAACAAAGTCTAAACAGACAATAATTGTAAAAAAAAAATTTTCGACAAAGTGATAATTATATTAAAAGTTATAAGCATTGTCAGTTAGGTCTGAGACACTATATATTATATACTCTAATTACAAAAATTATGGTTTATCCTATTTGATATGTGTGTCTATTATGTTATCAGGTGACAGTATATTTCATGAAACCAAAGCAACTATAATATGGATAAAAATATGTGTTGTGTTAGTTCCTGTAAAAATATATTTCGACCTGGTGGTAGAAAATTTTATAGGTAATATACTTGTTAAAATTATTATTTTATATTTTTAATGTTAATAATTGTTTTATTATTAAAGGTTGCCTCTAGGTAACAAATTATTATTAAATAGTTGGTTAAATGCTATGGGAAATGAAGAAAAATTTGTACCATCTTCTGAATCAATGATATGCAGTGCTCATTTTATACCTTCTGATTATTATATAAAAGATGGTTGTATACGTATTCGTCAATCAGCTATACCTTCTAAAAGTTTAAAATGTCCACAATCATCTCAATCAATAAATTCTAAGAATAATGTTCCAAAAAAAATAAATAAATCAAAATCATTTGAACATTCATCAGTCGATCATCCTTACGCAAAACATGTCACTTGGACTACAAATGTATCTAATTCTTTGCCTGTTATAGTTAGTGTTAAAGGACAAGTTTCTGATATATCTGCTTTAAATAATTCAAACACAAATAATTATTCAGATAACCTCAATGAAGATTGCATGATAGTAAATGAAATTTCCAGACCACCAGCTACAGAAATTAGTAATAAATTTAATTTAGGCAGTAAAGTTCTTAAAAAAATTCAACCAAAAGTCAATAACAGTGTTAAAAACTCTCAAATTCCTTCAAAAATGTTTGTACGTAAACAAACAGGTCCAGTAGTTCCAAATCAGATGTATTTATTAGTGAGTACTAAAAGAGATCAAAATGGTTTACCAACTGATGTGCAATTAATTAAAACAGTTCAGAATGATGAAGCAAAAAATCAACCTAATACTTTAGTTATGCCTGCAATATCAAAGCCAGCTAATAAAGTAATTTTAGATCAGTTAAATGTGAAAATATTACCAAATAATATAATTAATAATAGCAACTTAAATAAAAATTCTATAAAATTGAAAAATATGCTACAACCTGAAGTACAGGTTAAACATACAGTGCCTCCAAGAATTGCTAAAAAAATAAAGGCATTAAACCAAAAAAACAGACGATTGAATTCAAGAATACAAAGTTTAATGGTTACTGTTAGAGATTTACAAGATATTCAAATAAAATATTTAAAACTTAAAGAAAGACTTCTTGATACTGAAGAAAAACTTTTAATGAAAGGCATCGACACATCTGAGTATTCAGCATTTTGTGATGATAAAAAACCTGTTACACCTATTAAGAAAAAAAAAACTACAGTTAACAAATCTCAAAATAATATGCCAAATGATATGAAAATTCAATCTACAGAGAAAACTAAAAAACATTTATTTATTTCTGTAAGTTCTCCAACCTATCAAGTACAAGAAAATAACAATGACACTTCTTTATTCATTACTAATAAAAATGTTATGTCTGAACATTCTTATGGAGTTATTTCTAAAGTTTCACAAAAATATTTTACATAAGTAAAAAGTTTAATGAATGAAATTTGTAAATATTATTCTTAAGATGTTTGATGGAAATCAACTTCAAAATTATATGACTGAGTTAACCAAAATTTTATTTATAATATATTGTTATATATTTAAAAATTTAATTTTAATTTAAGAAACATTTTTTATGTGACAGAAGATATTACTTATATTGAAAAATATTTTCATAATAGAATGGTTTTAATTGGTAATTTTAGTATAATTAATAAATTTGTTATAAAAATAATACACTATTCCATTAAATTTAAAGGTAGTAAAAATCGTTGTTAACTAAAATTAAAGTTTATTTATACCATGATATATATATATATTGACCTGTGTAGTCATGAATAATAATTGAATAAATATATTAGTGAATACTAAATATTCTATACCAAATACTAAATAATATAAACTTAAAAAGTGTTATATTTTTTTTGTATTGAAATAAAGTTAGTTTTTTTTTTTAATTTACTGATTTGATACAAACGCCCTATACTACTATACAAAACCTTAAATTTATAACAGTAAATTATTTTTATTAGTAAAAACTTTATTACATATAATATAAGAAATCATATTAAAACATGGATTTGTAAATTGTTAATTTTCAGTATTTTTTTGTAATATCTTTAAATCATTATTATAGGCTTATAAATTAGAAGAAAAACAATTTTTTTTATTTACAAAAGCAAGTCATTTTAAAAAGGTGAGCATCAAAATTTTTTATATATTATTTTGAAGTTTTTAATATATATTGTAGATGCGAATATACCTTGAGTTAAAAGGGGAAGGGTGGTTTAATAATGTATAATAATATTAAATGTATATAGGGTGATCTAAAAATCACGAATCAATTGATTACTCATAAAATAATTTTGAGAATTTTTTTTTGTTCACCCCTTATGCGTTATAGTAGTATTAACTTTTCTTTTTTTTTTAATAAATATGTGGATATTTAAATAGCTTATAAAATAGTAAATAAGAAAAAGGTAATATTATTTCATTTAACAATTTAATGTAATAACAGTAGGTAAGGATTAGGAGCTACAATTTTTATCGCTAAACATTTCTTGGTCCCACTCGTTTTCTCGCCTTGGCAGAAGAGTTAATAACTTCTGATTTTTTTTTTTTTTTTTTTTGCTCTTTAGGCTCGTTTAAGACTTTTAGCGACTTTCCCCAAAGAGGATTATTTTAACCATTGACACTCCGAGTTAGTTTATCCCCGGATTGAGGGATGGCGACTCTAATTACCAAACTAGTCACTGCCCCGGCAAATTAACCCGTCCATGACTGAGTTTCGAATCTAAGGCAGTTTGCGTCAAGCACTGTCGTGTTACCCCATCCCTTAATAACTCCTGAAATACTGGTCCAAAAGTTGTTAATGACCAGTCATTTTCTTAATTACATTATTTAATATTTCATGAGCTAGTTAAATATGTATGTTATAATTTCAAAAAATAAAATTGATGCCCTTTTATAAGTAACAATTTTTTTTTTAGAATATTACATTTTGTAATAAAATTAATTGCAATAAGCACAAATGTTTACATTAGTTGTAATAAATAGCTGATGAAGTATTAAATAACGTCAATATTAGTATAATGTAAGTTTTACCACAGTAGTAAGCCATTTTTAAATTCATAAGCAATATAATAATGTTCATACAAAGGGAAAGTGCAGGGTAAGCAAATTAATAATGGTGGGAAAAATAAATAAAGGGAAACATGAAAAGAAGGATAAGAAAAGATACGTTTTAAAATAAGTTTTTCAAAAATCTTGATAAATAAAGGAAGAAGACTGATGAGTCTATAAGATTCAGGAAAGTCCGGAAGTTTTCCTGGCTTGAGGACCATGATGTAATTAATGTAATAAGGTGTAATTAATAACTGGTAAATAATAAAATATATGATACCTAAAATTACCAAAAAAAAATTTCGTAACATAATTATTCTTTTAAGAAAAATCGCGTAGCTGCGTACAATCATTCTGTAATCATTTTGTTTATAATATCTAGAAGTTCTAAATATATGTATTCTTCATAGTTTAAAATTATAAATTAATATTAATAATATAACTAGGCATTTTACAGCTGATATATTATTGATAATGAATGTATAATACTTGTTAGCGAGTGAATGACTGATCTAATATAAGTTATAAAACATTAATCCGATATGGCCAATATCTGTTTATGTATGAATACTTTAACGCACGGGTTCTCAAACTGTGGTAGGAATGACTGGGGAAACTATGGTCAGTGGGTAATACCGGTCACCTCATTATTTAATAAACCCAAGCATCTAAAATTATGTTGACCCTATGTATAGATTAAGAATGATAAAAAAAACCTTATTCTTATTATAACGATATTATCAAAAAACGTTTTTAAGTTTAAATGTGTGAAAATAGTTTTCAGCGTTCATTTATCTAAAAAAAAAATTTTTAACAAATTTAATTTAAGGTAAACAAATTATTATATATTTATAATTTTTATAAACTATATTTCAGTGAATTTTTAAAAAATTATTTTATCCCTATATTTTTGCATGTATTTATGAATGGTCGATATTCTCCCGGGGTAGGGAGAATACCGGTCATTTGCATTAAAAAAGTAAAATATATTTATATATACAAGATTATATTTTAAAAATCTGGGACTCTGACATAATTCAGTCAATATGTTTATGCATCCATTTGTTGTAATAGCATAACATTTAGAGTCTTAGAACCAGTGATATAACAATTTTTGCTAAGGTGACCGTAGTTCTCCCAGTCACCCTACGCGTATCACTAATGGTACGCGGAAGGCCGCATAGTGGTAGAACGGAAAATTAAAAATAAATATTAGATTCTTAGCGTAGCGATGATTATACAATGTCGTGTGTTTTTTTAATGCTCGGATAATAAAGGTTAAATTTCACGGAAAATACGTCTATAAATAAGATATCGTATATAATCATTGATATTTACCGCGTACGTATGTAGATAATTTTTTATTATTTTATATCAGTACTAAATATTTTCTCTTCCGCCTTTTAGTTTATTGGTGCTAGTCAACTTAAATGTTGAATTTATGTCTTTAAAATTTAAAGTAGCAAGTACTAAAAAAGTAAAAACATAGAGAAGTGGTTAAATAAATCTACGTCTGAAAACTGTTCAGTAAGTTCTACTTCAAGCGCAAGTCAAGATGTGAATAATCGTATGAAAATAAATGTGTAAAGAAATATGATCCTGAGAACATTAATATTTAATTCACGGTAATATACATAAGCAATGAGCCTCAGTCTCAATGTGTTATCTGTTTTGAAATTCTTTCTAACCAAAGTTTGAAACCATCCTTATTAAATCGTCACCTTTCTACAAAACATTTAACGTTAGAAAACAAACCAAAGGACTATTTCGTTTGAAAATTATCAGAGATGAAAAGCACAAAGAAAATTATATCATCTTTTAGCGGTAGTACTGAAAAAGCAGTGGAAGCATCTTTTTTAGTGAGTTTAAGAATAGCGAAATGTGGAAAACCTCATACCGGCGGCAAAAGATATGGTAACTTGTATGTTAGGTGAACCACCGTCAGCTAAATAACTCGATATGATATCACTGTCAAATGATACTGTTCGCCGCAAGATTGAAAGTATTGAACGTTAAAGAAAAATTAATTGATCAAGTGAAAAATAGTGATTTTTTTTCCATACAACTTGATGAAAGTACAAATGTATTAAACTATGCTCAGCTTATGGTTTACGTGCGGTATGTATTTCAAATTTTAATCAAAGAGGATTTTTTATTTTGTGAAGCACTATCAACACGAACCACTGCTGATGAAATATTTAAAATGTTGAACCACTTTTTTGTTGAAAATGGATTAAACTGGAAAAAGTGTGTTGGTTTCTATTCTGACGGTGCTCGAGCTATGACAGGTAAACATGGAGGTGTTGTGACTAAAATAAAATTGGTTATAGAAAATTGTACTTTCATACATTGCAGCATCCACAGGGAAGCTTTAGTAGTAAAGCGTGTACTAGAACAATTTAAACTAGTACTCCAGGAAGCCATAAAAGTAGTTAGTTTTATTAAATCTCGGGCTCTGCAATCTCATTTATTTACAAAATTGTGTTCCGAAATGGGAAGTGATCACATTCAATTGCTTTTACATACGGAAGTAAGGTGGCTCTCTCGAGGAAGAATGCTTAGCAGGTTATTTGAACTACATACTAAGGTTCAGTTATTCCTAGGAGAGATCCATTTTGAACTCATAGATAAATTGACAGATAACTAGTGGAAAACAGCATTGACATACTTATCAGACATTTTCAATCGTTTCAATGTATTAAATTTAAGTTTAAGGTAAATCAATAAACAGATTTTCAATAAATAACAAAATTATGGCATTTATTAAGATATTTGAAATGATAAGTAATAATATTTCGAATAAAAAACTGCAGTCTTTTCCTAATTTGGAACAATTTGCAACAGAACATGAACTTAAAGTGGAATCTGATCACATAAAACAACATTGTAAAATGCTAAAAACAACGTTTGAAGAACATTTAAAAAAAATTTTTCTGAATTTTTTTGGATAAGAAACACATTCATTTTGTATTTGGATGATATTCTTAGAACACTAACAAACAATGAAAAAGTCTTTGATAGAATTGTCATGTGATGGAAATTTCAAAATGGAATTTACTAATTAGAATTCTGTAAGTTTTGGATAAAGATTAAACGAATACTCCTCAATGACCGAAGTAAAAAACAAGCTTTGAAACAAACCGAATCTCGAACCAAATTTACGCTAAAAATTAAGTAATACTGAACCAGATATTTCATCGCTAATATCAAATCTACAAATCCACGGTTCTCATTGGAAAATTGTTATTTAATTAATTAACAAATTAAGATATAAATTAAATTTTAATTCATATCTTAACTTTTAAACTCGAATAAATTTGTATTAATATATAAATAATAATTATATTGTAGTAACTGTATTTTTATTTAAAATAAATGCATTTAACTATGTAAAGTTTGTATCGTTCTATTTTTAATCATCTTTGTTATGCACTGATTAAGTGGTACACGAAAATAAAAATTAGAGAACCGCTACTTCAACGACTTCCACCTTATATTTTTCAAAAGATAAAAATAAAAACCGTTGATGTTTATTTTTTTTTAGTAGATCGATAAATAAGCGTAGAACATCAAACTCATTTGTTCATATTTAGATTTTCGAAAAATGAGCCACCTGTTAAATAAAATTTAACAAATGTTATATATTATTATAATTAATATATATTATATAATAATAATTATAACTCTAATAACTTTTTGTTAAAATAATTACTGAATGCAAAATTTCTACAAGTTATTGATATCATGTATCACTAAGGTTGCAGTATTTCTTAAAACTTATTTTTTATAAATGGCTTACGTAATTAGTTTGATAATAATAAACTATACTATATCAAAATTTTAATTACAACAAGAATTTTGCACTATCATAGAGTGTTTATTTATTTATTTTTTTGAACAAATTAAAATGCTAAATTTAAGATAAAGTTTGCAAATTGTAAAGTTATAAATATAAAAATTGTTTCAAATTTAATAGTTCGTATCGAATCGTTTTAAGAAAGTGATGTTAATCACTCAAATATCATTTACAGCATGATTCATTTATCATGAACCGCTTAATTAATTCAAAATAAAAATAATATTAATAATTCTTTTATTGGTTTCTTTTAGTTCAATGTTTTCTCAATGTAACAATTATAAAAACAATTTTATATTTATCCTTTATACCTTATAATAGTGTCAACTTTAATTTCTCATACGGCAACACACATAATTAACTAGCTTATTTATTAATGATCTAATTATGAAAATGACTGGTCGATAATTACTGTTGGACCAGTATTTCGGAAGTAATAGATATTATGCTAGAGGAGACGGGTGGGAAATGTCTAGTTATGAAAATAGCAGCATTTACTATTTATCTCCAGTAATTACTATAAGTTGTTAAATTGGGTTTCATCCAATTTTCGGCAACGATATGTTCAACAAGATTATAATCAGGTTCATTTGACTTATTGATCATTAAAATCGATTCAGTGAGCTAAGAATTTTTATGGACAGACATTAAATAAAACGTATACCATCACAAAACCAATACCTTCTCTTCTTCACATAGAAGCTAAAATTATAAGTGTTGATAAAATTAACTATCATCATTGGCGCTGACTGCTATATTTATGTATTGTAAATACAATATTTTTTATAGGCTTAATAAACGGTAAATTAAAAAATTTACGTAAAATAGATAATTCAAAATTAACATGACATTGAAATAGATATAATTGCTCTATACAAAATTAAAATTAAACTTAAAATTCTATTTTTAACAAGCCCATTCAAATTGATATTAAATGTAATATCAGTAATATCAACATAGATTCAGTACGAAGTATAATTTTTTCCGTTCCAACATTTCTCAGAAATGGAACTTTCTCTAAAAAAATTTTCTAGCTGTTTGCTTTGAAACAGAACACTAGAAAAAAATCGTTTCGCAAAAAAGCATCAGAATAATCCCATTAATTTACATTTCCATAGTATTTATTAATAAAATTTAAATTATCATCATAATTCTTCACATTACTCTGTTATAAAATTTAAAACATTTATTTAAATTGGCTCACTATAGGATCTAACTGCCCGGGGGGGGGTAGTATTATTTCTACCCAATTCAAATAATTTAACAAATTACGTTATTATAACTAGATTTATTTAATTCTATAATTTAAAATTCTTAAAAAAAACTTATATTTTTTTAATATTTAGCTGGAATTAAGTTAGAAAAAGTCCCGTTTCAAAGCAATCTTGGAACGGTATGAAATTTCGCGTTCTGGAACAACATTTTTGTTCCGTTTCTAATCTCTAAATATCACGATATTTCAATACAATATCAATGTCAAAATTTTACCAAAAAACTGCCAATATCCAAATCATATCGATATTCGATAATTGTTGTCGGTTCCTACTATTTATAAATAAATACTTATATATTTACAAGTATATGATAGTAATATATTTTTAATTTTATTTTTTCCTGTACAATCATTAATAGTTATATACACAAAAGAATTCTCATTAAATTAGAAAAAAGGTTAAACATTTCCAACTTTGAGAACTTTTTCTCGAAAACATTTAATAATTTAATATATTTATCTCTAGTTAGCTTATAATTTTAATTATTACCATTAAATATATTGTATTTATTCAATAGATTTGACAAGATTTTACGTATGCTGAAGTATAATGTAACATAATAATAGTATGACATTTAAATTTAAACAAAAACCTTCTATTTTAAGAGTACACATGAAAAGAGAAAGAAATCGACCTTGAATTAAATGTAGCTATCGATGGTAGCCGTTAATCTCAATTTAGCTCAACTCGTATTGTGAATTAATTTTATGATAATGTAACCTTCAAGTGTTTGTGGGTTGAATATTTTTGCAAAAGTTTCAATTGAAACTATTAATAATAATAAAGAATTATAAAATAATTCTGTGAATTCCAATATCTTAATATTATATTTTAATATTTAAATTTTAACTATACTAATGCATCATGAGTGATTTCAATGATTCCTTTCATTGTGATCTTACATTCACGGAAGAAGAGTTCTGTAACCTATTAAAAAAAACGCTAATAGTTATTTTATCTTTACAAAACATAATATTAATCGAGTAGTGCAAATGAATAAAGGGGATATTGTGATGATGCTCTCACGATGGGGTGTGGTATAAACGAATTCTTTCTTAAATTAAATCTTTTGTGCTATCTAAGTAACATTACAATAGCTATTGAAACACAACAATAATAGATAAAAGTTCAGTAAAAATGTTTAAATATTTATTTTGAAATTTAATTGAAATAAAATATACAGGCTTTTTATACAGCAATTTATTTATAAAAAAGAAATAAAAGTTCATACAGTAGAACTGTATTAATAGCATGTATTTAGATATATATTTAGATTTAGATTATAGTTGGAAGTTATGACTCAAAAGCAGAAAATAAAATAAATTTTGGATTAAATATTTTTATCTGTTCAATACTCCATCAGATTTACTTCATGAAACACATTTTTCAGACTCGTAAGAATAGAAACTTATTGTAGTCATTTAAAATCTAATAAATAAAAAAAAAAATTATTAATATTATTGATAACACTAAAAGTATTACAGAATCTAATATATTGTTTTGACTGGATAATGAATAAAATTATAGTGAAGTAGTTTTTTTTGAAGCCAATACGTTTGGTTACTTTAAATTATACTATAGTTATTTAAATATAGAGTGATTAATTTATAATTGACTTCATGATTTTTCTTAAAATAATAATGTTTAAAACACCTAGCTTTGTTAAGCCATATTTCATTGTCAAATAGTTAAATATTTTTAGGTCTATCCATTTTATCTTATTAGAGTATTCACTTGAATTTTTAGCTTCGTTGCAAAACTGAGGTATTTTTCTTGAAAATATGATAATTAACATGGAACAAAGATCACCAATTGAGTGTGAAGTAGCTGGTTTTAAAGTTTAATCACCTTTAAAAATATAAAATGACACCATTTTTCAGTAAATTTTTCGTATAATAATAGTGTATACGTTTGACCAATTAAATACTTGAGATATTAGGAATTGTTTTTCAATTATTATTGTATTTCTAATCAATCTTTTACCTGTAAATAATGTGGGGATTGCTGCTTTCTAGTAGGAAAGTTCTTATTGTTATTATTCTGTTATATATGTCTATTTCAAGTTCGTTCGATGAAAAAATCACATTAGTCCCTTCAGATTTCATCTTGAATTTATGTATACGATAGTAAAAAAAATGCTTAACTCTGTGAGAGTAAAGAAGAAAATACCAATAACTTACTCGACCTTAATTTTGCATGCTGTGATTCACAATATGTGTGGTTATATTTATGTATTTTTATCACGATATTTTGTTAATTCGTTACAAAAATACTATTATTTATATTGTAGTACACACGTGTTGCTGGAGACCGGTTAAAGAACAAAGTCGTCATGTGTTTATTAGCAAAATAGTGTTATTGAAACATATCTTAAACTGGTTATCCGCGAGTGCAGCGCATCATTACGATGTAGTAGGGAATCATTTGGTCGCCACCGCTATAGAAACTAGTTATAGTCTTATTAGTTATTAGACTGAGCGCGACTCTTGTGTAGTCTGTTGACGGCAGCGAAACTGACCCGTCGGTCATTTGGTGTTACACGCACGTTCTTCTGGATCGACCACATAAATCGCATGCATTCGTTGAATTAAAATAAAAATAACACACCAAAATTATCAGTGTTTGTTGCGTCTGTATAAATTGCAACACTTGTTATCAATAAATTTCTGTGATTTTTAATTTTAATTTATATTTTGTTTTTTGTGATGCCACTTTTTCAAACTAAAATTTTATTACTGAATTNATATTATTTATCACGATATTTTGTTAATTCGTTACAAAAATACTCTTATTTATATTATAGTGCACACGTGTTGCTGGAGACCGGTTAAAGAACAAAGTCGTCATGTGTTTATTAGCAAAATAGTGTTATTGAAACATATCTTAAACTGGTTATCCGCGAGTGCAGCGCATCATTACGATGTAGTAGGGAATCATTTGGTCGCCACCGCTATAGAAACTAGTTATAGTCTTATTAGTTATTAGACTGAGCGCGACTCTTGTGTAGTCTGTTGACGGCAGCGAAACTGACCCGTCGGTCATTTGGTGTTACACGCACGTTCCTCTGGATCGACCACATAAATCGCATGCATTCGTTGAATTAAAATAAAAATAACACACCAAAATTATCAGTGTTTGTTGCGTCTGTATAAATTGCAACACTTGTTATCAATAAATTTCTGTGATTTTTAATTTTAATTTATATTTTGTTTTTTGTGATGCCACTTTTTCAAACTAAAATTTTATTACTGAATTTTTTGTGGACTATGTGAGATCCAGAAAATCTTTGTACATGCTGTAGATTAGGTATGTAATTATTATACTCATATTTGTTGGTATACACTTTGTGTTCATAATATTGCAGTCGTTAGTTTATATTTTTAGTCGTATTAAATAATTTAATACCAATTGATTTTGTAGTGTTCTGGAGAATTCAGCTGAAATCACTGATAAAATAGTTTTTTAACTACCATATAACAAATTAGGTCTCTCTAAAATACTATTTTACACTAAAACATTTACAATAAGAAAATATGTTCAAATTTTAAATACGCCATGACATCATTTTTATGCTGTTGTGAAATTGATAAGTACTCCACTCGTAAGTTGTTCATATAATTGGACATAAAATTGATTAACAAGGTTTTGTTAGTTAATGATTTAAGTCTTTAATTATTTTTCATCAATTCTAATTAGTTACAAAGAAGTTATGATAATTTTAACTCAAAGTTGTGAACATTTAATTGTTAGATAGTTGTTTATTTAAGAATAATTACTGGTAATAAATTTTAGACATTCAAAAAGTATCTAAGATTATTATTCCTATTCATTAATTAAAATAAACTATAATAAAAAAAGGTATTATTTTATTATAAGTACTTAAATACGGTTCATAAATTATTATTTTATACCTATAACATTATAACCGCCAATTTTCATCTTGTAACTATCAATTACTAAGAGAATAAAAAAATATCAAAACTTTGAAGTAATTAAAAATAACTATATTCTACCTTTTTTAATTTTAAATATTAATTAAGTGTTTCTACATTACTTGTATTCATTTATGTTATATGACTATAACCTGGAGGATAACCTTGAAAACCGAAAGGTGTTCTTGATAATATTGTTAACATTATTTGCAAATTACATACTATAAGCTGAAAAAATGTAGTTACTAGATTCATCCAACTAAAATTCACTATCGCTTAATCTAACATTGTATGGTCTTTCTTTACAAATCTGTATATGTTTGATGTTTTATCAATTATATCGACCTTAACTATTTAAATGTTGCGCTATAAAATCCAGTTTTTGTAAAACAACATTACGTATTTGTTTACATTTTCATACAGAAATTTCAATTTTTACAATAATTATATTATATTACAAAATTAAATTAGTAACAATTTACAGAAGAATGAATCATTTTTTAGGCAATTCATTTTTATTGTTAAAGTCAATAGGTAAAAAACTATCATTGATAAATCGTATATACTGTTTTTTTCTAAAAAACTGAAATATATATATTTTCTTAATAAATATTATTTTATCTGGCAACCCTATTTATCCTTCGAAGAACTCAAATAACATCTATATCCTACAGTAATACCTGTATGTTTGATTGTCTGATTGATAAGAAACTTAATTTAAAAATAACACGTAGGGGGTATAACAGGTGTTTAGTTTTTTTTACTGAGTATTGAGCAAATCACATGTATGCCCAGAAATGAAATATTTGATATAATAAATGTTTATTATTAACCAAAAATTATATTTCATTGATATATGACTTAAAAAAAAATTGTTATTCGGATATAAAATGATTTTTATTTTATTTTTCTATTAAATATAGTTAAATATTTAAAAAAAAAATTAGTCTAAATTTTTGACCCCAAGTTTTGCTTTGTTTGTTAGTATACATTAGTTCAGTTACGAATTATACTAAAATATTGATAATTTTATAATGTTTATGTCTCTTAAAAGTTTCCATAATTATAAACATAATTAAAATTATATAAATTTTATAAAAATGATTATTTTGGCTTTTATGTTCCATTAAAAAATCCGAGTCTCCTTTAATTTAAGTCGAAAATGTAAACCATTAATTTTACTAACTAATAGAAAGTAAAAATCGTATACTTTCTTAGTAGATATATTATTATTAAAAAGTAATTGAAACGCAATAAACAAAAACTTTCTGGAATTTTGAAAATTCTTATCTATACAGTATTTTAAATAACAGAAACTGCTTTATGTATTTGTATAACAACAGACATTTCCACAGAGTTGTGTAAAAAAAAAAAATTCAATTTGTTTGGTACCTTGTAAAGTATAACGAATTTGTTTTTTGTTTCCTGAAAAGTTTTTAAGAGTAGATGTATTGTATTACTGTAACAACGCCTTCAAGTTATGCGATAATATAAATTAAAATTAGAAGGAATTTTAGCAGTGTTAGTTGTATATGTAAACATTTGTGATTTGAAAAAAAAAATTTATCTATATTTTATAAAAATTTGATAATTTTTTATATTTATAAATAATTGAAGACGATTCTTAAAGATGCACTTCCTAGAATCAAACAAGTGTGATTGTTTAAATTACATTTGGTATGATATTATATTGATCCATTAAAGAGTACCTTTTATTATTGCATACTTGATAAATACGTGCTGTCAATATCATTTCCAGATACGCTCGATTGGTAATCATCAGATCAGATCATTGAATAGTATCAAATCTTTACTTAATTTTTTTTATTATCTATTGTTATGTAAAATGAGTATCATTAATTCGGGGGACGTATTGTATATTTACTAAAATTTTAATTTTTAAATATAATCGTAAGCATATTTGATAGTGTATTAAATACAATAGAAAAGTTAGTGTAATAATATTAGAAATTATACTGCGTAATAAAGAATATTCTTGTACCTTAAACATATGTTTTACTGAGATAAAAGATATCATTCAGTAAAGTATTGTCATTTTTCATTTATAAATAAAGATTAGCTTTTACAAGATAAATTATGAATCTAATCAAGGCGATAAGATAGAGAACTCCTTTTAAATGTGTTAATTTGGAGAGGGAAAAAAGCCCATTCTCCTCCACAAATATTTTTTTTAATCATTTTTTCACAATTTAGATAGACGATAAAAAAAAATATAAACAAAAAATATTTTGCACCTTCCCAATTACTTATTTTTTTATAAGTATACAATGGGTGTTTTTATGATTATGTCTCCCGTAATATAAAAATTAATTAATAACGCAATAAAACTGATAAGATGCATAAAGCATGAAATGTATGTCTATTTGGAAATTTTCTTAAAAAAGTCACTTTTAAAGATTAGAGGATTCAGTCTAGTTGCCAGATCTAATGAGTCTTAAATATATACTATAATCATATTTTAGATGCTAAATAAAAGTTTTTCAAGAATCTTTACTTTGCACCTAAAACAAACAGATAAAAATTGAAATATTTTAAAATGACATAATAAAAAAAATTATTTATATATATTTGTAATAGACATAGTAGTTCCATGTTAAATATTGATGTAACTAAAATTATTTTCATTTAACGGACCTGTTAGGTAGAATTCTTACGTTTATCTATGGTTTGTCATAATTAGAGCCTGGAATTATATGTATTTATATATTTGGTTTCAACCACTTTTGAGTGTTCCAAGATTGTCATAGGATTAAATAGTAACGTAAATGTATTTTTCGTTTTAAGGGTATAAACCTCATTAATAACTCTGAATCTATAACCTCGATAATAACTCATTACTAAGTTTTCAAAGCAATTAATTAAAATTTGTACTGGCTGATGGTTCGGAATAACAACATTTATAAATACTTATTATTCATAATTTCATAACTAATTACGTAAAATGTAAGAAAATAAGCTTAAATTTTTTAAATAATTCTTTAGTATTATTTAGCATTATTTAGCTAATAATTTTTTGGTCATAAAAACAATTTTTGATACAGTAAATGAAATAGTTTATATCTCTTGATTCTTATCATTTGATGACTGTATAAGAAGTATTACCGTTTTAGATACATTTCTTTACATCTATTTTGATTGTAAAATATTTGTTCTTATTTAAAAAAAATATTGTATATTGTTTAGCCATATTCACTCCGTATACGTTATTATGTACTGAAAAAATAATAATTATCATTGTTTTAAGTTCTAATACATGAAAATATTTGATCGCTTATTTTGATAGATACTTAATTAATAAAATGAAAGGCATCGTCGTAAATAAAATACTATTATTAAGTAAATATCAGATTAAAAACAAGACTGTGTGTATAATATTGTATTTTTACATCACTTTATATGGACGTTGTCACCATTGGATAATAATTAAAATAGGTCCTCGACCTAAAGGTCAAATATCTCTCCGGTTTCTTCATCAACTACAAACCTATTATCTATTAATACTTATATTCTCATATTCTATTAAGACACTATTAGAACAATAGCTAAATAATTTCCAATTTAACAGTAATATGAACCTTATAAGCTTAAAATTGATTTTAAATATTTATAATTTAAATAATGAACTCTGTTAAAAATGTTAACGATTTAATTTTTGTATTACAGTATAAAATTACAACTTTTAGGGGTAAAATTTACTAATGAATTAACATCGAATATTTATTTTATCTTCAAAGGAAAAAAACTTTAACATAATTAAGAAGATAGTCTCTTAAAATTTACTCTTAATCTCTGTACATTATGCATCTAGTCAGCGGTGAAATAGTAAAAAAATGGGGCCTTGGAAAAAAAGATCATCTAAGTATAATCTTAGTACATAGGCCCAGATTCACGATATGATAGCCGGCCTGCTTGAATTTACCTGTAATCTGTTTGAACCTGTTATCCTGATGGCCAAATCCGCCATTGCATTTTAAATAATAGACTCACGAATATGAACGATGCCCAACTATAGCAAAAAAACGTAACAGCTAAATTGTACACGCGACTACAATTTTAATTATTTAAATGTAGTCAGTTTTTTGCAGACACAAAAACCTGGCCTTTTTTTGAAGAACCCCTTATGCTTTACATAAAGAAATTTGTATAATTTTTAATTTTCTTTGTATCTCCTCTTTGAAAATCACTCGTCTTTTAGTTGTATATTTTAGTAAAATCGATAATTCTCCTATATTTCATTGCTACTATTAATAAGATGATTTTTTTTTTAATTAAAATCTTGGTATGATTTTAGAATTATTAAAATTTAAAAAAAATTATATATAATAAAATTTAATTTTGAATATAATAACATAA